ATATAGTCCGTCAAACTGTTTCACTGTACAGAGTGTCACAATTGAAAATACTAATGTACAATACCTTTCCCCTGAACACTTCTAACAAAACATCGGGAAAAGAATTAGAAAAGATTACAAGTTCTTTTTTCCGTTTTAACTGAAATTTTTGTTTTAAAGACGTAAGTTATCATTAACTCATCTCAGTCCTGCATATAAATAATTAATACTCTTTCGAAGTATATTCAATAAGCACAAACAGCTCAGCCATCTGAATAACGTGGCTACTATTTTAAAAAGTAGAAAGTGGAACTGTAACGAAATAAAATATATGGAAGGTAACTTAGAACCGTAAAAAATCCATGAAATGAAATATAGTCTTTTAGATGGTTGCAATCACAGTTTACGAAGGTCAAGAACAAACACACTGCCATCAGATGCAGAAGCACCAACTTTATCGCCTCGACTGTTCCAACAGACTTCAAATATTCCGCCTGTACCTCTATAACTGTGCACCAATTGACCACTCTGCGCAATTTAATAAAATATGTATATAATACTCATGATATATTCAGTGCTCGGAATGCTTCGGAACGCAACATTAGGCCCCGCCTCCTGACTACCACAGCGTCTCGCTCCCCACGTTGCGTAGTCAGAAGGTGGAGCCTAATGTTGCGTTCCGAAGCACTTCAAGCACTAAATATATTAACAAATCTAGAAACAAGAATAAATATAATCGTATTACCTGAGTAGACCAAATATGAACACATTTGTCGAAACTTCCACTAGCAAGAAATTTACCATCTGGACTAAATGCTACGCTGTAAACTGGCTCTGTGTGTTTTGTAAGTGTGTGTATACATGCGCCTCTCTCTACATCCCATAACCTTACTGTCGAATCAAAAGATGCGCTAGCTAATGTTAGATTCATATTTGGATTATGTGTTCCAGGTCCAGTTGGTGACCACTTAATTGTATATATTTCTTTGCTATGTGCCTGGAGATCATGTACCCATGTGTCCTGTTTCATAGACCAAATTTTGAGACTCATATCATCTGAACAACTAGCTAACAAATTTCCTTGAGGATCCCATTTAATAGCATTAACTTCATTCTGTAATTAATACAGTATATGATAATATTCAGCTGAAAAATTAAATACCGCTATCAATTATTTCTAAATACTTACTGTATGACCTTGGAAGCTCTTGATTGGTTTGTCTACATTAAGTTTACATACATGTATACATTGATCTGTAGAACAACTAGCGAATGACGTATTTGTTTGCCAATCAACATCTAAAGCAGGTGCACAATGAAAACTAAACTGTTGGGTACACTGTCCACTTTCTGCATCCCATATAATTGTTGTTTTATCTACACCAGCACTCAGTATATAATTTCCACGTTTGTTCCACTTTAACGCAAAAATTGGACCTTTGTGTTGACCTAAAGTTGAAGCTAATCTACCATCTGTTTTCCAAATTCTTGCATAACCATCATAACTTCCAGTTGCTAATAAGGTACCATCACACTGAACAAAAAGGACAGTAAATGTTTTCCAAGCCTTGCAAATATTATATATATAAATATTATTAAGCATATGAAGCATACCTTCCAATCTAAAGAAGTAACATCTTTATTACTTGGTACTTCTGTACCACCTTTCTGTATGCAGTGACGAAGAACAAGTTGATTTGGTGCTTGAGAATTATCAGACATATCCCAAATACGAGCTGTACTATCTCCAGAACCAGATGCCAAGAGATCGGTTGTTGGATTCCATGCACATATAAACACTTCTGATTCATGACCACGTAATTTTGTAGCTTTACTTTCTGGAATTTCAACTGCACTAGCATTACTTCCTCCACCTGAGCCTTGTTGTTGTTCGTCTACTTCCATTTCTGTCCTATCTCCACCCCTCTCATTTGTACCTACACCTTCATTAGAAGTAACAACTGTAAATTAATTAATAAATATTAAATTAGATACACTTCTTTCTTCTTAAAACATTTTCTTTTCATAACAATTTTATTACAACTATAATATGCAGCGTGTGTGAGTTATAACCAAATATGAAAATATTTCAAAAAAATATTAATAATACAGAAAAATGTTTCAGACAAAAGTTGCATCGTATTAATAGTAATATGTATATGGTGTAGATGTTCTTTTGACCTTGTGAGGTCCTTGAACTAGCCTACGAAGGTCAAGCTCATATTTTTTAATGGAACTGTATATTTATCATCACATATCTTTATAGCAAATATCTTGACCTTTTCAAAACTCTACTTAAATGTGTATTTTGCTTACTTCGTTCCAGGCATATGACCTCTTAAAGCATTAGAGTTAACAGACATACACCACGGTGCCATTTATATTGGGCACTACATTGACGGATCCAGTAGACCAATGTTATTTGTAAACACAAAGCGACCTTTTCGTTGACACAATGTTGTTCTTTCTAATATTCACACGCGTAAGCCGTCAGAAAGTCAATGACTTTCAGTGAAAAAATGTGTCTTCAAATAAGTTTGTCTCCATTTCGCAATAAATCATTATAAAAATGCATTTAATAGCAGGGGAGAAAATTGAAATAGTTCTTTTACACAATGATAGGTAAACATACAAGGCAGTGGGTGAAGAATTTGGTAAACATCACCCAAATAGACCAAAACCATCTGAATCAGTGGTGAAAGACATTGTGGATGATTTTATAAAAATCAGAAATGTGAAAAGCGAAAAGCACCAAGCTGAAACTTGGTCAGAAGCAGACGAAATAAATGTATTAGCAGCATTTCATAACTGTTACTTGTAACATTTTAAAGAAAAGTAAATTAAAAGCACATAAGCTGACAAATGTGCATAAAATTTTTTATGATGATTTAGGATCTCGCATAGAATTTGCACTATGGGTATTTTCTAAACTTGCAACTTTTGTCTGAAACATTTTCCCGTATTAGCAATATTTTTTGAAATATTTTCATATTTGATTATAACTCACACACACTGTATGCATAAGCGATATATTATAATGATAATTTTGATGATGATAGTAAGTACTTAAGCAGGAAAATATCATAAATATTAAAAATCTTGATAATTCGATCGTAATATGATTGTTTGCTCCCAATTTACGGATATGTTGTACCTTTTATATTGAACTCTATTTTGCTATACCGTTGCTTTCTCAAATTATTATACTTTCAAACTAATTGGGAAATGTATTATAAAGATATATTAACACAACTGGTATAATAAGATATAATTCAGAAACAAATCCGAAAATTAAAGCTGTCCTTTGATTTACCTGGTCTAGGAAGGAGGTCTATAAAATGAAAATACTTTTATAGACCAGGGTGTACCAGGCACTATAATAATTGGTAACAGAAACTATAATTACCTTCTTCTCCATTTGTATCTTGCACCTCTGTTTTCACCTGTTGTTTCTGTTGATTAATTTGGTTCTGCCTTGATGCAACAACATCTGGCATAACAGCATCGATAAGGGATAATGATTCAACCATCCTTTGCACAGTTCCATCTTCACCTATTGATATTTCAGCCTCTGTATATTGTAATCCTTTCTGAAGTATGGACAAAAGTGCTGCTGGTGGTACTAATGCTCCGTTTATGTTACTTTGTGATATATGTGATTCTATTCCAAATGTATACGCAGAATGTTGAAACCCTATTAAAAAGATACAATAACTTTAATTTTCACGATCTGTATTACATCTCATATATTACAAGTTAATCGTAATTTATATTCGATCTGTCTTAATTATAGCAATAATTTGTATGAAATCATAAGTTACTAATTTCTCCGTGAATTCTGATAATTATTTCAACAGAAATCTATGTATAATGTACGTAAGAGACACTCATAAACAAAAAAAAATTCAAACGTTATTGTTATACAAATTTGCTGGGAGAGGTTAGGAAATATTTCACACAACAAACCGGACTCTTGTAGATATCGATAAACCAAAAAATTGACTTCATCACTAGAGAAGCTCATCGTTCTTATCCTTTAAAACACTAGCACAACATATTTATACGAAGTTGCGCCAAAAATCGTGTTGATCCCAGTCTGACGCTGAGATTCCCGAATCCCGAGATTTGCCGCGTCAAGGCCGCTATAGCAAAAGAACACAGACCCATTTCATATAAACCATAGAGTAATACAGTGCAATAGTAGCTCAGGTTTTGCACGATTTTTCTACCTCTCTTAGCTTTTGCAAACATCCCCACTATATTACTGTGCATCCAATCCGCAGTGAATCCTGTCTTAGCATTGAATCGTCAACTAATTAGAACAATGCAATTTCTACCCCTATTCTCGTTAACGGAGCGCGCTGCGACCAGAGAGTCTTGCAGAAACTTAGATAGCAGAGTTAGCCATGAAATACAAACAACGGTATGTTCAGAAATGATATACCTTCTAATATCAACGTAATTTTCTCTTATTTTAAATTCAGTAAAAGAAAAAGGATGCATTGACGATACTAATTCATGTAATGTTTTCAGACGTATTTATTATGTAAACAATATTACACTTGTGCAACAATATAATAATGACCTATCATTAACAGCACGAAATTATACACAATACTTCGCCGAATAGAACGTGAGCAATCTCACAATGTTCATTATCAGATTATTTCTAGAAGTACTTATAACGTGTATAATTTACAATTTGCAGGAATATGTCAATAAGTCTACGACCTTTAACTCTGCTCACAAGAAATTTATTGCTTCAAAGAGGTTTGTATTGCAACTGCGAGCAAATTTCGGTTTTACAGTTAGCTTTTACTGTTAGATTAAACGCTTTGTTAAAGTCAATAGAATGGGGTTAGTTTTTATTTTAAAAAACAAAATAATTTTCATATCTTCATTTATACCTTAAAGTGTGTGCATAGACACTTAGAACATGATCACATTCATTCAGGCGTTTCTTACTATTTATACTTTCTAAACTTATTTATTTATCTTATCATTATTCATCACATATGTTAATAATTTCAAACGTTGTAATAACGGTTCAAATGTTTACAATTTTTTAAAAAGTTACATACTAATTTATAGATCATCGACTGACACGCTCCGTATATTATT